CCAGCTTGAGCCAGGACTGATAAAGATATTTCCTTTGAAGTTCTGTCTGACTGTCGTTTGTTAACGAGCGAAGAGGGGGGTCAGAACAGGTTAGTTAAATCAGCTTTAAATGACCTTATTTCATTTCATTGTATTATTAAGTTTGTAGCCGTTAGCAAAAAGTAAAACAAATACAGTATATAAAATGTGACGTTAATGTAAGCAAAAGGAATTAAGTTTTTTAAATCTGTGCAGATTAGATTCTGATTGTTATTGTGTTGCTTTCCCATGCACAAAGTGTTTCTTGATTCTGCCCGAAAACTTAGTATTCATTCTTCTTTTCCTCCCCAGATCTTCTACAACAGATCTGAACGTTGCTCTCAATGAATGTATGGTAGCCGTGAATTTATTTCTGAATAACAAGTTCCAAGATGCCCTTGCTTCTCTACAAACTAAGTGAGCCACTGCTTCTATCTTCCCTCTTGTGGTTAGGATCAACATATATAATTAGAGGATTTAGAGACAGGGAATGTTTTATCAGACTTGAGAAATTAAGAATTTCAAACATTTTGATAATAACAGCAGTTAGTACCAGCTAACATGGATTTGTCCACAATAAATTCTGGTAAATTACTCTCCTAGATTTAATGTAATTTACTGGATTGCATGGATATATTAAATGAAGTGTATATTGATTATAACAAAACATTTGAATAGGTGTCCTTAACTACTTAGTATATGACAAACATATAATAATATTATTAAGTAGATTTACATCTAATTGCAGAAGTTGTCTCAAAGATTATGCTCTCTATGTGCTTCCAAGTGTCTTGACAAACTAGAAAGAATATTTGAATATGAAATAGCATTGCTGTCTTCCAGGTCTAGCATGCTTTTATTAATGATTGTTTGTTTTTGCATTGCAAATCCTATTTCTATATTGAACAGTGTGCTTTCTAGGTATCCAAAGTGTTAAAATATAAACATCATTATAATCATTATAATCATATCAATATACAAACATATATTATATAATATTGATCATTATTAAAAAGTATACTATCTTCCATATTGACATAAATTATATAACCATCAAAGTATTTACTAATCAGGTTTTATTTCTCATGTACTCCATATTTTCACATAATCCTGAATGCTGGTCTTGACCAGATGATCAAAGCCCAGTAACATTTTACATGTGTGCGACCTGTGGATTTAAATTCCCTAATTGTGCTTATCCTTCTGAGGTTGTTGATCTGACCCTAAAGATATCCTATGGCCAACAGGGATACCTAGATGGACCTTTATTCCCATTTCTCCAAAGCATGATTGAACTAAATATTTTACCATCCCCTCTTTTAAATCTGAAAGCTTCTTTTTATAGAAAAGTGAGAATCTGATTTTCCTCAATACAATTAACAATTTTAAACCTTACTTTCTTGAAATTAGGAAACAAGAGCTCCTAGAAATTACTATTAATTAGAACTGCTGGGTGAAGATTTTTGGCTTCCTATTGTTTAATTATTCACCAGTGATAAAACTGTTCAGATGTTGGCATCCCAATATCAGTAATATTCTAAGATAGAATTATTGCAATTTACGAATATCATGTTTGCAAATCTGCATATGAACCATAGGATTTACATCTATTAGAATCAATTTGGCATTTAAAGAGTTAAATTCTTTGTTAATCTGTGTACTTCCCAAATGTACTGAAACTACTTTCTGTATTTTATTTGTAAACGGATTTTCCCATAAGGAAAAAAAAACATTTTTGATATATTTTACTCAAATATGTACATTTATATATATATTTCTTCTGATGTATCATTTTTGTGATATCTACAGATGTGTTCTAAAAATCTGAATAATGCAAATTTTGGGATATTTCAATATTCCGAGGTTCAAATACATACTTATTTGAAGCTGTTTATATTTCCTATTAGTTGCAAACAAATAAAAATAATTTTTTAAAGGTATTGATCCAGAATTTAAACAGTGATTTATATAAGCCTGGGGGATTGGATATAAATTATGATATACTTTACAGTACTGGGATGGTTTTTCAGTATCAGTTTCTATTGATGTAGAACCTGTGGAAAGTCACTGATAACTGTAGAGTGAAGGAGCATATTTAAGGTGACCAGACGTCCCGATTTCAGCATGACAATCAAGCTTTATAACAATTTATCCCGTTTCCCACCATGTTTTTAAAAAGTCCTGATTTTCTGGCTTCATGTTGAAAGCCCAGTGGATTTGCTTAAGAAATCCTAACTGGGGCAAG